TTCCATTAAATAATTAAAGTCATAGGCATCAGTAGCTCTAAATTTTTTGGAACACAAAATAAAGCAAGTAGACACGTAATTCAAATAAATAGTTTCAAACATTACTGTTTATGAAACCATGCAATTTATATGGAAAAGGGGGAAAAAGTTGAAGAATGCTCACAATCTCTGAAGTTGAGGCAGGCCTGAAAAGATGCCAGGGAAGGTTCCATTAAGATTGTTGTTTGATAAATCACTGCAAAATTTTTATTAATGATTGACGCATAAGTCCAGAAAACTGGCAGTGTCATAGATGACTAGTATTTTCAATTCTGAAAAGTATAATTTTTCTTATTAATACTCTGTATAGAGTATTGCAATATGATTAGATTAACACTAAAACGTCAAAGGTGGAGTATTCTTACATAGTTGTGATATTTTCGGAAAGCTTAACTTGTGGTATGGATCCACTAAGCTGGTTTGAACTGAGGTCACTGAAATGTAAAAGTCATCATTAGTTGACAAAATCATATATATAAAGCATATACGCTGAAAAAAATTAATGACTACAGAATTGTCTTCAAATAACCAGGCATCGAACTTTTTTCAGCATGATTTTTGTAGCTTCTCCAACAGGGAAGCCTATTGTCATATGAGATATGAAATTATTTTGCAAAAAATGATGGTAAACTGTCAAGAGGAGCATTGGCACATAATTAGTTCCATAATGTCTGATAGATATTCATGAACATACATATAAGAAAGGTTCAGCATCCTGCTCATGTCGGGGATTGGTCCTTGCAAGCTGCAGTTCCTAAGACTCCTGATACAGCCAAGAATACTGAGTCACAACCAATCTTTAAAAGTTTCTGAAACATGTGCAAATGCATGTTCCTTGATCTCATGAGAAAAACAAATAAATCTTTCAAGGAAATGAAAGGTTGTCAACAACTAGTCAATGTATCAAGAATTCTCCTCTCTCTCCCCCTCACTGTACTACAGTTTTTTAATTTAATTCAAACAAAAAGAGAAGGCTTTATGAAGCTATAGCATCGTGCCTCCTCCGTTACATCTCAAGCAAAAACAAAATAGAGATCATGGCACCTTGCCTCATGCTTTAGACTTTTTTCTATGTACTTAGAGCATCTCCAATCCTCATAACTTCTTTCATCAAATTCAAATTTGATGAATAAACAGTTAAAAGTGAACTTCAATCATTTCACCAAACTTGCATCAAATGAAGGGAGAGGAAAAAATTTCACCAAACCAGGAATTAACCAAATCATTCACCAAATTTCCAACATTCGTATTTTTATTCAAATTTGATGTAATTTAAAACAAGTATTGGAGATGGTTTTTGTTAAAATTCACCTACTACACACCTACCACTACCACCTACTACACACTCACCTACTTCACCTACTCTCCACCTACTCCTCACCTACTCCATACCTACTACACACTCACCTATTCTCTTCCCACATCCTCTCTTCTATATATAGGAATCATAAGTTTAAACCGCCAAATCGATTCACATCCATTATCCAATCCGCTCAATCCGCATCCGTCAATCCGGTAGACAGATGTAGATTGATTTTTTTCAATCCGCCAATCCGACGGATGGATGGTGGATTGAAGGTTCTCCGATCACAACCGAACTGCAAACACCCCTATGGTCGAGGCACATCAAGTCGATCTAAGCAAAAGTTAGAATTTTTTTTTTTTTCCTAGGCAAATTATCAAACAAAACATGCTCTCAACAAATTTGACTCAAAGTCTAAAACCAAGTATAAGTCGACCAAATAAGCCGCTACCCAAATATGTCAAAGATTTTGAAAAGTTTAAATGTCTCTACAACAAAAAAAAAAAGAAAAAAGAAAAAGTGTCACCAGAATCAAAGTCACCGTCAAAATTATGTCACCAAATGAGAACCATCGTCAAATTACAGCTCGAGCGATCGAAGGCAAATTACTGCAAATCAAGCCAAAAAAACCAACAAGATTCTCAATTGTTTTTTATTCCCTTCAATGCATTATGAGCTTTGTTAATGTAAATTGTAAAAGTAAATGTAAATTACCACTACCACCCACTCCATCTACCACCTCCACTACCACCTTCACCTACTCCCAAATCCTCACCTATATAAATCCTTGTAATATACACAATATATACATCAATCAATACAAATCAATCAATAATATACATCAATTTATTTTAACATGGTATCAGAGCAAGGTTAAGAACTTAGTATTTTTCGCTTCACCGGCGGGCGGCAACCTCGCCTTGGCCGCCCGCCGGACCTCAACCTAGTCCGCTAAAATTTTCTACACATACCTTCACTCTTCTCCTTCCTTACCACCACCACTGCCGAAGTTCCAGAAGTCACGGCCACTGGAGCCTGCTCTACCTGTTCGGACGTCGGGTTGTTCTGGTTCGGTCATGTTGGATTGTGATCGGTCTCTGACGTCAAAGCAAATAGCCCGCATGTCCATCGGAGGCTAGGTCCGAGGAAGCAATTGGCCACCACCAAGGCCGGCTGGAAGTCGGCGCCGGCCACCGGAGGAGTGAAGAAGTCTTCTCTCTCCCTCTCTGACAAATCTGAGTTGGCTCCGCCGACGAGGTCGTCTCTCCTTATCGCATGCATCTCGCGTTTTCCAGATCTGTTTTTGGCTCCGCCGGTGGCATCGAGTAGAAGCCATGACCGCATCGCCTCCATCAACAGACAGACAGAGACAGCCGTGCAGTAATCTTCAGTGATCCCACCTTCACACCAACCATCCAGATGCCATCTCCTTCTCTCTCAGCATCGACTTCTTTAAATGCCTCTCCTTGATAACCCTGAACTCAGCAACAATAGCAATCCGGCCACTAATCTTGTAAAACCATCTCAGCAGCATTCATTGCATTTGGAAGATCTTGCTTGTTTGCAAATACCAGCAGCACAGCATCCCTCAATTCATCCTCATTTAGCATTCTGTGCAATTTATCTCTTGCTTCAACCACACGCTCTCGGTCATTGCTATCAACCACAAAGATAAGTCCCTGTGTGTTTTGGAAGTAATGTCTCCACAAAGGTCGGATCTTGTCCTGGCCACCAACATCCCAAACAGTAAAGCTAATGTTCTTGTACTCCACAGTCTCCACGTTAAATCCAATGGTAGGAATTGTGGTGACTATCTCTCCCAGCTTGAGCTTGTAAAGAATGGTAGTCTTACCAGCTGCATCAAGACCCACCATCAATATGCGCATCTCTTTCTTTGCAAACAGTCGACTGAAAAGCTTGGCCTTCACATGGGCACACACTCCACACACTGCCCCATACACATACATGCGGGACGTCCCTCTCTCTCATCTTTTCCCACTTTCAAACCCACTTTAATCATATCTCTCCTTTCTCTTAATTTATTCCACCCACGTTCTTTCACCCTTTTCTTTTATTTTAATATATATATATATATATATATTTTATTATAATATATTTTTCCTCTCTTGGTTAGTGAGCATCCCCCGTTTTTCCATTCTCTTATTATTATTTTTTTTA